ATAGCTATGTGCGGGAACTCATAAGTTCTGGAGTTGTTGTGATTGATTTTGTACGATCACATGTAAATTTGGCGGATCCTTTCACAAAAGCGATGCCAAGGGACATGGTGTACAAAACTGCAAAAGGGATGAGGTTAAAGCCTTTTGAAAATAATCACAAGTGAAAGAAAGCGCAACTCAACGTCTAGTACAACGCTAGATCTTGAGTTCAATGATGATGAGTAAGTCACTCTGTGGTTGAAGCACTTTTGAATAATAACCATCCCGAGGTAAGTACTTGAGTCTGCAATGTGTAATGAGGTTGACTATGTCTTAATAGATCTTTTGATAAAGTGTTTTATTGCAGAACACAAATTTTTAAAGATCTACCTATGTGAGCTAGAATGGAAGCCGATTCACCAAGTTTAAGGCTTTACTTGTTGGAGCTCATGAATGGATATGGACACAAGGCTGTTAATGGTGTCAAGTTTCTAAGTGAAATTGTATAAAGACTTATGTGTGTAATATCTTCAGTATTTCAAAGTGGTTATATAGTTCAAAGCTTAGTCTACTATTATGATCCGAAATATTGTAAAGAATATTGCACTAAATGAAAGTTCAATCGTTACGACACTTTCAATTATGCATAAGTCTTGATAAGTGGTCTATTTGGCAAGGATTGAGTATATTTATTTTTAATAAATGGAGGAGGATTGTTGGAGATTTATTGAAAATAAAGCTCAATTATTAATTTACATGGTCCTTAATCATTTTATAAATAATGTGATTTGTTTAAATGATGTTATTTTTATATTATGATTATTATATATATTATGGGAACATATTGTGCACTATGATCTCATAATAATTATAATAATATTACTCTAATATGTTAGCTCACATATTGTTTTAAATAGATATGCGGCTCATTCCAATTTGGATAAGGACAATTTTTTATCATTTTAAATTAATTACAAAAGGATGTACGTATCCTTTTGGAGTAGCCGCACCGTTTCCAAAGGCAATCAACAGTTAACAATTCGGTTGAAATGAACATGGCTTTTTCGAAAGTCACCTTTTATATATAAATATATGAAGGACCGTGTGAAATTGCATAGAATGAAAAAATTTCTTTTCAGTCTTTTCTTGCGATACTAAATACTAATATCTGCAGCGTTAGTATTGATGTGTTTAGACCACTTTATATACATATCACTTGTTTAGTGTTATTTTGTCAGTAGCCAAAATACACTGTACATCTTCTTTTTATCCCAAAAGTTCTATCTTGTAACCCGGTTACTGTGATAAGGGTAGATAGTAAACTTTTAGGAAAACGTATATAATACGTGACTAAAAGTGATATCCGGTCCAGCCATATTTATACACCCTTATATTTTACAAGTTTTATCCTCAAGATCTAACAATAACTTTGTACAATGTCGAGCCTTTATTGTGTCACAATCAGTATCTTGCTCTGCACCAACCCTTTGATGATCAACCAAGCCAGTCAACGAAGTAAACTTTGATCTACCTGCCTCCTCACTATATAAAAAGAAAATGAAGGATCAAACCCCAAACATAAATTTTATTTATACGCTAAATTACCTTAATAGTTATTGATTTCTCTGGAGTACAACTGAATCCATAAGTTAGAACAAAAAACCTAATAGGATGGTGGGAACATTAGCAGATAGCAACCATAAATATGAAACTATCCACCTCTCAATACATGATTTCATTTGGACAATTTCTTTAACATGTTATAAGTGCATATTAGTGTGCAAATATCTCACAACTCACAAGAAATCCTAATTAACATCATTCACAAACAGTAGCCTGTTTTATAAAGATATTCCTTCAATTAAAGCCTACCCCTGATTCAAATATAACCTTGATCATCATCTACCAAAAATAGAAACCTTAATAATCAGAATATTAGGTAAATTAAAACTTGAAATCAAATGAAAACTTGAATGATATGAATAAGTTGGAGGGAATATACATACCATATGGTGATGACACGGCTAATATGATCATGAAACTTGAAAGCAACACTCCCTTTGTCACTCCCAATTTCAGTTGTCTACTAACCTCGTTGGAAGGTAAACCTAGAAGTGGACATGTGCGGTAATGACATTAACGGAAGGAAGACAGATACAAAAGGTTATTAGCTGCTACCTAGTAAACCGAAAGCTTAATGTACAAGTACATTTATCAATAGTATTAGTCTATTAGACCAACACTTTTTTAATTCATAAGTGACCCTTACTCTCATTCACTCTTATAAGTTTTTAAGATGTAGATATCCATCTGCGATACCATATATGTTAACGTGTAGCTAGAATAATGACCAATCTACTTATTACTTTATCCAACTGTTCTAGCAGGGAGTGTTGTTGTTACCTTTTCAGATGGATAGTTTGAGAAAACTGCAATAGTGAGAAAGCAATCTTTTGGCCAATACTCATATAAAAGCTATAAAGGAGCAACAAGGTAATATCTTTATTATCAAGATAAGTCAGTATCGGTCAACACAGTAAAATACTCTTATTAACATACCTATTAAGTTTATCAAATATACTAATTATTATCACTTATTAAAAACATTAGGTTAGCGATTGCAAATGCATCCCAAAATTATAAATGTATAGTCCTGACCGAAGTTGTAGCTAGCTCAAGTACCTTAGTTAAACATGACATGTAAACATGTATTAAAAGAGAAGTCTTTAAACAACCTAAAGAACATAATACTGCTTAATTGATTAGAACTCAAGACAAATTAAAGCTGGGTAGTCCCATATCAGGCCTCACTTATTCAACAATACTAAATGAGAGTGAAAATTTTTGTAGGTTTACTTTTAGAGCTTAGATATGATATGTTTTTCTTAACCTCTATTTGAGAAGCTTTGGAAATGTTTGCAAGAAAAGGCAGGAATATTTTTTCACAGGAAGATATTAACAGTGAATCAAATTCACATTTCTTTTTATTGGATAATTTGGTGAAGTTATCAAGTGGTATTGACTGATATGCGGAGTATATGTTTAGAGGTGGGGAGTTTCTGGCTTGTGAAGCTGCTACTAATAAAACAACCAACGGGAAACAAACTACTAAAGAAATCATCTCTTGTGTGCATTTTACCAAATAGAATCAATCCCCCCCATTGTGTCCATATACAGCGGGCATCTCAACTCCATCTTGATTAAGGTATCTTGCATAGTTATCCCAGTCGCTCCAAGTCCCATCATATGCCCCATAGTATGCAGTGAACGAATAGCCACTTGGAAAACAGCACATTGAGGGATCAATCGGGTAACATCGGTGAGTAAGACCTTCCACTAGAGTGAGTCTAACCATTAGCTATACCTGCCAAGTCACCCGAAGCCTTCTTAGTTGGGTCCTTCACTTCGAAACTATGTTGTAAAAACCGGACCGGAGAGTGACCCGGCCACATGACTGGGTCACGGGTCAACCCGGACCCGGTGGGTCAACCCGGTCAACGCCGGAAAACCGGTCAATGATTATACGTCTATATAATAATATCAAACATATAATTATATATAAAATTATAATAAAAATTAGTTATTATTCATAATAATCAACTAACAATACTACTTATTAAGCATTTAATACACTCTTATGATATTTGAATGTATATTTTGATCTTATAAAAATATATAATGATATTTTTATTTTTATTGTACATCTATAAATATCATATAATTTGATCTTATTATAATTTGGCATGATGTTCATTCTTAAATAAATATATAAATATATTACGCAGTTTTTGTTTTTAAGGTATTGAAATTGCCATTTTATTGGTATAAAAAATGCATTAAAAATAAAAAAGAAATTACTTTTTTTTGGTAAAAACACCCAAAAACTGGGTTTTACCGGGTTTTTCGGGTTTCTTGGGTCTGGGTCTTGACAGGGTTTTCCCGGGTCAGCCGAGTTTTTCCGATTTTTGACCATTTTCGGGTTTTGAAAAAACCAAACCGGTTTTTTGTCCGGGTCACCGGGTTTCGGGTCAACCCGGTCGGGTCGGGTCGGGTCGGTTTTTTAAACATAGCTTCGAAAGCCTTGCTCTTTGATTCCAATGACAGCTTCTGCAGCAAATCCGCAGTTTGATTACCAGGGGCAGCAACTGGACTACTGGAGCCATATCCCAATACGTAGATAGAACGATCTCCGAACCCTAGAGAGAGAAAGCTGAGAACTGCTTAGGGGTATCATACCCGCAAGCATTTCTCAGCTTTCTCTCTCTAGGATTCGGAGATCATTTTATCTACCCGGGTATCACAGGTGATGAGCCAGCCGCCAGAAGCAATCAAAATACATAGAATCAATCAAATTAGGAATTTAGTCCAACCGTGTAACCACAGATTCTGAGGAGGAGATGGGAATGTGCAGTTGTAAGAGAGGAAAGCCGGTTTCGTCTTTTGGGTCACCACCACTTCCGATGTAATCATCCGGCACGTGGATTCGTTGGGAGTGAAAAAATCACAGGCGAAAAGAAACACACAAACGTGAGAGCTTGTTGTTTTTAATTAACAGAAGCCCTTACGGATATGACGAAGGAACTAGGAACACTACAATGATTTCAGCATAATTTACAACCTAATAATACTAAGAAGTTACACCAACAAAAATTTAAGGATATAACTCTCATTCACCATTATAATAAGATTTCAATCAAAGATCTGCGCCATATCCGCGAATTTCAGCCATTCGCTTGATTATTATTCGATCCTCCGGCCGTAAATGGAATACCAGTACAAATCACTTAGGGGGTGTTTGGATCTGATTCCTAAAACTGCTTCTGCTCCCTCAGGGAGCAGAAGCAGAAGCTGGAGTGTTTGGGTGAAAGTGCAAAAGTGATTCTGGTGCTCTAATTTACTCCTAGAATCAGTTTTTTTAGAAGCTGGGGGTGACCAGCTTCTCAAAACTGATTCTGATTCTGCTTCTACTTTAAAAAAGAAGCAGAAGCAGAATCAGTTCCAAACACCCCCTTAATATCGTTGCAGATTCTCGGGTCGCTATCATATATCTGAACCGGCCCGAACGCCTCAACGCTCTGTCACGCGACTTCTTCACGGAGTTCCCAAAAGCAATTGCTTCGCTCGACGAAAGCCCCGACGTCGCCGTCATCCTTTTAGCCGGTGCCGGGAAACACTTCTGCTCAGGCATCGATGTGGATGTGCTAGCATCGGGTTCAATTGTATCCCGATCGTTCGATCCGGGCCGCACCGGGGAGAAGCTCCGACGCGACATCAAATTCCTGCAGGATGCCGTGACGGCGATCGAACGGTGCAGGAAACCGGTGATCGCCGCCATCCACGGCGCCTGCATCGGCGGTGCAGTTGACATAATTACCGCCTGTGACATTAGGTATTGCTCTGCTGATGCTTTTTTCTCGGTGAAAGAGGTTGACTTGGCCATTACAGCTGACCTCGGGACACTTCAGCGGCTTCCCAGCATTGTTGGGTTTGGAAATGCAACGGAATTGTGTCTGACCGGCCGGAAATTTACTGCATCGGAGGCTAAGGAGCTAGGCTTGATTTCTAAGGTTTTTGCAACCAAAGAAGCCTTGGAGGAGGGCGTAAGAATTGTTGCTCAGGGTAATTTCCTTTGCACCCAAATTTGAAAACAACCCAATTTGATTTTTCGGTATTTAATTGTAATCTTTATGATAACAACATGAAACTCATGCTCAGACATTTTGGGATTTCCAATTCTTCTTGTTTACATTATTAGTTTAAATGTAAGAAGTTAAGAACCAAACATAAGCTAAACTATTATGCATATGCCTCGAACTCATATTTTCCTCATAAATATCCAACAATGGGAAAATTGTGTGATACAGGATTAAGGATTTGAACTGTACTATACACAATTACAGCAATGGTAGAGGCGATTGAAGTTTGGCATTATAACTCGTTCTAATTGTGGCATAAACTTGACATCCACTTAGATCACTTTTGACCTGGGAGATAAGCACGTTTTTAGGAGCCAGTCATTGAACATCTAGAGCATTCAAGCACTTAATATCTCTTTGGGCGTTTGGTAACACTAACATTGTTAAACTTATTGCTGAAATAGTCAAATGAGCTGAATATGCTGAGTATATAATGAAAGAAAACTAAAAGAACTCACCTTGGAAAAGACTAGGTTAAGGTCTCAGTAAATTTCAGTTCAAGTCACAAAGTATGAACCAAATGAGGTGAAGATAGGGTCAAACCTTAAACAACTCACCTTGAAAAAAACTGAAATATAAAGCTGAGAAGTGGGCAAAATAGGTTAGGGAACTGACACTGAGATTTTATACACCGAGTTCACTTGAGCTAGCACTTTGATTGTTTATTTGTTCCAAAGATTTAGACAAGTTCAAATGGCTCAAATCATTTTGACAGGAATAGCAGAAAAGTCTCAACTCGCCATCATCGGAACAAAAGCAGTGTTGTTGAAGAGTAGAGATTTGACAATGGATCAAGCCTTGGATTATGTTGCCACTTGGAACTCCGGGGTCCTTCTATCTGATGATCTGAAAGAGGCAATTTCTGCACAAAGAGAGAAGAGAAAGCCCATATTTGCAAAACTATAGAGTTTGAAACAAGGTCATATATGTGCATGTAACTTCACAAATCTGTACTTGCATATTTTGCGCTTTAGTTTGAAGACTACCAATCCTGCTATATCACGGGTAGGACCGGTGGGTACTTCCAACCAAAATAACACTTTCACATTGAGAGGGAATGAGAGATTACATATACTGAGTTTTTCACAGTTTACACTGGCGAGAGCTTCTAATAAAGTCATTGATGAGTCCACGTGAAAATTTGCCTATAATTTGATCCTTGAGATGTTTAACAGAGTATCTCAACATTGCTACTATTTGTCTAGACTCTAGATTCACAACCAACCCGAACTGTTTTTTCATATGATATATTTTAATAATGAAGCATGGCGCATATATTTTTTATAATCCCATAGATTCAATCGACTTATCAATATTTTTTGTAATCTCAACTATGGGTAACATATATGAGGAGGCATACATCAGCAATATCACTAGATGAAGAATTTTTTATATGCAAAATCTTATACAATATCCAGATAGCGATATCATGTTTCCAAACTTGTCCAAATGAAAAGAAATATTACGAATTAAATGAAGGGTCTTCATCGATGGAACTACATAACCATCCCATCACCTAGCCTTGTTTCTTACCAGTCATAGTGTCATACTAGCAACTACACCAGTCACAGCAGATAGAGGAACTTGTTCTGATGATTCAAGTCTAGTATAGAAAGAGCCTGATGCCAGCGCTGAGGCAAGAAACAGCAACGACAGGTTCTGGGACTACAAGCATTTTCAGTTGATTCATGATCGTAATCTTTATGTTTCTTAATTCGCTCTCCTGCTGTTTTTTTTTAGAGTTCCCTCTCCTAGTCTCCTGCTGTTTGATTCCTCTCCGCCCCTTTAAAACACTTGAAATACGTCAATTTCATTCAATATTTCAACAATTTAAACAGATTTAGTCAATATAATTAAATTCATTGTTATCAAACAAGCGTACTATTTCACTTTATTTTACTCGAACTTCAACAACTTTAATTTTTTACCACTTTTTTTAGAGTTTGTTTGGTAGCAGCTATTTTGAACATATAAATCAATTTTTTTGCTAAACAGGTAACTTATTTAACGTTGAATCGTGTAATGATCAAAATATTTTCAAATTATTTTCAAAAAAATTGGACAATATTGTTTGTCTTTAAATTTTCGAATTATGCCCAAAAGTTACGTTCGAACATCTAAAATCTATATACTAGATCCAAGATGCATAACTTTTTATTTGTGTGGGAGATGGAGCAAACACGATTAATACGGAGTACTGAGAATGTTTTTTTTGGACTTAAATTTGCTGGTTTGGTTTGATCTGGTCTGATTTCTTTTAGTCTTATTTTGTCTGATCTGGTTTAATCTCATTTGATCTGATCTAGTCTATTTTGATCTGGTCTGATCTAACAATCCAAAAAAAGAAAATGTTCTAAATAATAAGCCCTAGTTTGTCATATGTCCAGACCAAGCAAATGATGATTTTTATGAGAGCATTGAATGTGTGGATATAATAGAAAAGACCGTTTGATTAATGAGACAATCAGATAAAAAGCAAGAATATAACGCCCAATAAAGATGAGATACGGGAGTTTCAATCATAGTGAGTTAATCATGGGCATAGAAAATCAATTGATGCACATTTTTGACGAATTGAGAGTTGGGGAGAAGATGTGAGAGTCATGGAGAGGAAGATCACTCTATATAAGATTCCCATATTGTTGTCCATATGCAGGAAATCTAGTTTGTGATAATATAAAGGTCAACGGAAGATCACTCTATATATAGAGTGATAATATAAAAGTGATAATATATTTATAAATATATAGACAACAATATATATTTGTCAGATCGACGGAAGATCACTCTATAATATTGTTGTCAATAAGCGCATTTATATATTGACATAATTTTGCACAAATTATAGATTCCACGTGATAAAATTATTTCTAACAAAGTGAAATTTAATTAAACTTGAAATCATAATGTTTTTTACTAGAGAATATTTTGTTATTTATAATTGGTCTTACAATTTTTTTCTTAATCCGATTAGTCTAATTTTTTCTTTTTAATCTAAGGTAAATTCGCCTCCGCTGCAATATTTTTCTGGATACGCCACTGACCGGTCCATATATGTCATTGTTTAAAGATTTCAACCATGCAACTACACGAACTACATCTTTAGTGTATCCGAAATATACAAATATGTCGTTATTTAAAAACTTCAACCATGCAACGAAGTGAACTAAAATTCATGAAATGACATACTGCGTAGTATGTGATACCAGGAGCATTCCTTGTTCACGTTGAGTAATTGAAATATCAAATTAAATAATTTAAATATAAAAAAATGTGAAATGGCATGGTATGATGATTTGGAACAAAAAAATGCATGAGAAATACATCACCTCATTATATTTTTAATAAGTAGAATGACACACGTCATAACAACGTTTCAAATTAAACTAACCTATAAGACAAGGTGAAATGTTTCTCAACTATCAACTAAATTTTATGTGATGGTTTATTACAACCTCTTGATGATCTAAAGTTCTAAATAATTGAACGGTCAACACTTACATAATACCGTTTTTGTTACTTCTATCAAGAGCTTTATTTAAGCCTTGGTATTTTTGTCAAAAAACAGTTGATACGGAATATTTACAAAACAGAATGGACACTTAGGATCGGATGATAAGGAAAAATGGAAAAGGGATAAATTTTAATTTTTTATACAACTTTTTTGGACAAATCTTTCTAACTTAGTATAACATATTAGCATCAGTTCGCAACTTCGCATACCATGCGACCGCCCCACGCCCTCACCATGAGCATCATGCTCCCACTCCCAAAACTACGTAGTTTTGGGCAATTTGAAAAAATACGGGTGAACAGTACACGCGTGAACAGTACACACGTGTACACTAATTTTTTCTTCTTCATCTCAGTAGCATGAATGATGTAACTTGTGCATAAGTAGATGTAACTCGTGTTGTTACAAATGTAAGGTCGGTTAACAACAAATGTAACTTGTGCCCAAAAATGTAACTCATGTTTAATGGAAAAAAAGAGTCTAATTGTCCAATTATTTTACATTTTTTTGAGAATATCCAATTATTTTACATAAATAGTGCATATGTTTTTTTAATATTAGGTCCATTAAAATGATTTTTAATAAGAAAATCATTTTTGATTGAATAACATAGGTTGATTTTGTGGTGTAACTCGCATTGTTTTGTGGTGTAACTAGCATAATGTTAAATGTCAATTCAATCAAGTGTAATCAAGATGTAACTTATCAAGAAAAAAAAGAAATGTAAATCGTGTGTTACAAAATGTAACTTAAGGCCAATGAAATGTAACTCCACTGTATATGAAATGTAACTCTATTGATAGCATACTATCAATAGAACCAGCACATAGCAAACGTTTAACATCTCCATATAAATTTTGATTTTTGTATGGGAGTTTCCAGATTTTCACAACTATTTCATGCTTCCTTACAAAATTATTCGATGTTTGGTTCTCTTTTGTTTTTCAAGTAGGAGAGCTCATCGACAGGATCCAAAGGGAAGAAGATAAATATAAAATAGGGAGTATAGGCTAAAATTATAATTGAATTGTAATTTGCTTGCTTTCCCATCTCTGTATATATCGAACAAGCTACGAAAGGAATTGCTTTCCCATGCTTGATATGTGACGGCTCACGGCTGTGTCTCGCAAACCAAAGCTAGTGATTGAGAAGGAGGAAAGGAAAAAGACTGACCGACAATCGAGGATGGAGAAAAAACGATGATGGAGAAAAACGATCGATGAAGGCAGACTTGGGGAGAAGAATATAGAGCTGACTTGCTATGTGAATTGAACGACACCGTATCAGACCCGGCATACCATGCGCATGGTATGCCGGTTGCATGGTATAAGAATAGAAATTAAGCGTAAAAAAATCCATTTTTTACGCATTGGCGGACAGTCTATATAGTTGGGATCATACAAAAATAATCAATAGTTGGGATTATTGTAAGCGGACGGGCAATAGTTGGGATTATGATGAGGTAAAATCCATTAAAATTGATTTGGCCGAATCCATTAAAATATTAAATTAAATAATTTAAATATAAACAAATGTGAAATGACATGATATAATGATTTGGAATAATCAAATTCATGAGAAATACATCACCTCATTAAATGTTTGAACAACAAAAATCCACAATATGTGAAGTCACCATGATAGAATTATAATAAGCTCCATTAATATCCTCCAGAATCCAAGAATTCAGGTAAGACAAAACATTCAATTTTTTCCAAGAAAATCAATACATACTCCATCTCTATTCTGGTAGTACTGACCCCACCGCTCCTTCCCCGTCGCCAGAACTTAGCTCGACCCACCGGCCCGGTTGCCGGTTTTTTGGACGCCGGAGGCGGCGGCGACAATGCGCTGATCATTGCGCATGGACTTGTATTCAGTATTAGACCATCGCAAGATGTGCAGCTCCTCGACGGGGAGGTCGTCGAGATACGTCGTGGTAATCTCCCGTCCCAAGCAGGTCACCGCCCACTGGCAGAGGCGGGCGAGTTCTTCATGCCTGTCTGATATCCAAAGACGGCCCGCCGCCTCTTCCATCGTGATCCATGTGGCCGGGTCGGTAGAACCTAGTTTCGGGTCCACAAGAATCTCCCGATAGAGGAGGCCAGTAGTGCCGAACACGGCCCTTATCATCCGGGCCCGGCGAATCGGGGCAAAATGTCGGAGGAGCTTGGGTTCCTCATCGTAGCCGTTGACCATTTGACTCAGTTTCTTGACTCTCCATAACTCAATTGATCGCAGTACAATACGAGTACTATTATTAGGTACTTGCTTCGTCCCCGATAAAACTTTCAAATAGGTTTGGCACACAGTTTAAGATAGTGGGTATTGTGTGATAAAGAGTTGTGCAAATGAGGAAGAAATGTGTAAGAATTGCTGTGAACCACAAATTCTAGCCACAAAGGGAAAGTGAAAGTTTTAATTGGGACGGACGAAAAAAGAAAGTTAAAAGTTTATTTAGGAACGGAAGTACCGAAGTAGTACGAAACAGAGGAAAATACTCTGCTTTTTATATTAGTCCACGAATAAATAGATGCCGGCGGGGTTAAAGAACGGCCTAATCAAAACCCTCTGGAAATGTGCCGCGGCCATTGGATATCTTCGCCCCGGCGACTCGATTTTCGAAATAGCTGTTCCAGACTTCCACTTCGGTTGAGTATAAGAATTAAACCGTTGTTTTTCGAAGATACTTCTGCGGAATAGATTTTTAGGCTGAAATTTTGGGAATTTATTTGATTATGATTAAAACA